TCCAGGAGATCGGCTTTTCGTGCCATTTTTCTACATCTTTTATTAGTGTTTTTATCATTGGTGTGTAGTTTTCTGCATATAGTCGCGAGGTATCCGCTGTTAATCTGTCTCCCAAGTATTTTATATGTTGGTGGTTTAGTTTTACATGTGTCGTCCTCCCTATCCTCGCCGTGTCCCCCACAGTCAACTCCAACTTCATGTCCTCTGACTTATCTAGATTTATTTTGTAACCCGATGCCTGGGTGAATTCTTCCAGCAATTTGATCAGATTCGGGAGGGATTCCTCCAGATCGGTGATTGTTAGCAGAACATCGTCTGCGTACGCAGAGACTTTATATTGTTCTGTTGCTATTGTCAGTCCTGTTATGTTTGGGTGTTCCCTGACCCTGATCCTGTATAGTAGGGGCTCTAAGGCCAGTATGAAGGGAAGTGGCGAGAGCGGACAGCCCTGCCTTGTGCCGTTGCTTAGAGTGAATGGATTGGGGGTTGCTCCTGGTATGGCCATTTGGGCCCGTGGATTCGTGTATAGTGCTCTAACCGCTGTGATGTAATTTTCTGGTAGGCCTATGTGTTGTAGTAGAAGAGATAATGCCATTGGATCCTGTCTAAGGCCTTCTCCGCATCCAATGATAGGACGAGAGAAGGCGTTCGAGTCTTTCCTGCCCACCAGATTAGGTCTACTGCACGCCTAGTATTCTCATATAATTGTCTATTCGGTACGAAGCCTATCTGGTCTGCGTGGACCAGCTTGGGCAGTATACTTCCCAGCCTGATGGCCAGGATTTTGGAGTCTGTATTGATCAGGGAAATGGGGAGATAATTGGTTACCTTCGTTTCGTCTCGCCCCGGCTTCGGGATCAGGATCACGTTAGCCATGGCCAGCTCCGCACTGGGCCGACCCCCCCATCCACTCTTGAAACATAGCTGTCATATGTGGCGTCAATTCTTCCCTCAGTGCTTTATAATACGCCCAATCATACCCATCCGGTTCCTTATAACTCTCTATCATCCCTATGGCTCTCTCTACTTCTTCAATTGTGAATTGTGCTTCTAGGTCCATTAGTTCTTCCCTGGTGGGCCTCGGGAGGTTTACCCTCTCCAGGAACTTTGCAACTGCCTCCACGTATGTGATTGTATATTTGGTGTTAGAAATCGGTGAATTCCTCGGCTATATCTGGTGGGGATGTGAGGGTTCGACCCTGGTCATTGGTAATGGACGAGATATGTTTGTGTCTTTGTTTGGGTCTAAGGGCCCTAGCCAATAACGTGTCCATTTTATTGGACTTTTCATAGAAAAGTCTCCTTGACCGGGTGATATCTCTGCTCACCCTGTCTAAAAGGAGGTTTCTCAGTGTGTGTCTGATGTTCTGTACTTCTGCTAGTTTGTCCTGTGTTGGGTTTTGTTTGTGTTGCATTTCTGTGGTACGCAGGGCCTTCTGTAATTCTTTTTTCTAATTTTAGTTTTTTTGTTGTGTGTTGCTATTTTTAATCAAGGTTCCCCTTAGGACTGCTTCATGGGCTGCCCAGATTGTGGTCGCGGGTAATTCCTCAATGGGGTTTAACTGGAAGTAGGTGTTTAGTTCTATCTAGAGCCTCTCTAAGATCTCCGGGTCTCTCCAGGGGGCGAGTGGTCCTGGTGTCTTCAGGTTTAGCGCTATGTCAACGTGGTCAGACCATGAAATTGAATTTATTGATGACCTGACCTATTTCATGCCTTGTTGATTCGTAAGGAACATATCTATACGGGAGTATGTGGAGTGTACTGCAGAGTAGTGGGTATAGTCTAAAATTCCCGGGTGTTGCAGTCTCCAGGGGTCTAGTAACCCTGTGTTCTGCAGAAGTTTTTTTTTTGTTGTTGTTTTTTTTTTTTTTTTAAAGGAGATGGTCTTGTCCCCCTATGCCTTGTGATCTGGGTTGGCCCGCCCTGCCGCTGCGGTCAACCGCGGGACACGGCGTCGCATTTAAGTCCCCTCCCAGGATTATTATGCCCCCCGTCAGTGAGGTTGTCAGGTTTTCCAGTGCCGTCCAGAATTGAGTGTCAGGGGAGTTAGGGGCGTATACGTTTATGAGGTGGTATTTGGTGGTGTTTATCGTTCCTGTGAGTATTATGTACCTGCCGTCCGTGTCTCGATGTATGGATTGTACCACAATCGGGCATTTTTTTATGTACGATGACTTCTACTCCCCGTGTTTTGCAGAGTGTTCGTGCTGCATAAGCTCTCGTATATATATGGTCTGTGATTTGTATCTTGGAGTTGCTAGGGATGTGGGTCTCCTGTATGAACGCAATATCTGCTTTTTGTCTGTGCAGTTTTCTGAGTAACAGTCTGCGTTCGTTTGGCACATTGAGGCCGTTGACATTTAGTGATGTATGTTTAAGCTCCATGTGGTGATGTGTGTGGTATGGTGGTATACCTTGTGCGTCGGCTCGCGGCAGTCCCGTATTGTTGTGTGACCTCCTTTGAGCGGTGTGCATCCCGGTGGTCCCCCTGGGGTGAGTGCTGGGTGAACCTTTGCTTGGTAGGGGAGCGGGTGGGGGAGGGGAAGGGAACAGAATAGGGTAAGAAAACATGCATTAGTAATATTAAAACATAACATATACAACCGTAGACTATGCATGGTTGAGACTGTCTCTCCCTGCTCCTCATACCTGTGTCGTCTTATCTCTCACCAGGTCGATCGGTGGCCACTCACCGCGCCGAGAGGTTGGATCAGACGGGGCAGGTGTACAGCCGTCGAGCACCCTAGCAAGGCTCTTAACTGATTTCTATCTTTTCTCGTGTATCCCTAACTTGAGGTATCACTGGCTGGTTAAGTGTATCATGGGGGGGGGGGAAGGGGTTGTTATGGCTTCGCCCTTACTTCCCTTCTGGGGTTTAGCTGTTTTGAGTACTACTGATTTTAATGAGTCAATCTTTGCCTTTTATGCACAGACCCCAGAAGGGGGTCTCCAAATTCAACACAAGCCCCTCCCAGGAATCTCTGGGACTGGTAGATAACGGAGTTAAAGACCGGTAAGCTAATTATCTCCCAGGAACAGAGAGCCAAACACAAAAACATAAAGGCACCCCAGAATATCATAAAACTTCAAATTTTACTCACCGTAAATTAATTTTTTCTTAATATGGTGGCAGTACAATAGGGATGTACTCTTCCCATGGGATAAGCATCTGAAATTAAAATGAACATAAAAAGTTCCTCCTCCAACAGCTATAAGACACTGACCTGCCATGGACCCTCAGTACATCCCAAGAAAACAGAGACTCAATACTGCAAAAATATCAAATTAATCAAGGAAGGAAGTGATGTACTGCCACCATATTAAGGAAAAAGGAATTTACAGTGAGTAAAATTTAAGTTTTGCCTGACATATGGTGGCAATACAATAGGGATATATCGAGATCCCAGAACTATGGGCAGGATTTATGCAACCACCGCTTGTAACACCTAATGCCCGAAAGCGTCGTCAGAGGCAGAGAATACATCTATTCTGTAATGTTTGACGAAGGTGTTGAACAAAGACCATGTAGCAGCTCTGCAGATATCTTCTGGTGAAGCTTGTGCATTTTCGCTCAGGAAGTATCCATGGCTCTTGTAGAATGAGCAATCAAGGAAGTAGGCAAAGTTAGATTTGAGGAAGAATATGATAATTCAATAGTGTCCACGAGCCATCTTGTCAGCGTAGACTTGGAGGCTGCATGACCATTAAAGTTTCCAAAGAAATTGACAAAAAGATGGTCAGTCTTCCTGTAAATCTAAGTAGATTTTTAGAGATCTTCCGACATCCAACTTGTGCCAGTTATCCTCCGGATCAGAGACCAATGGACAACTAAAGGAAGGCAGGGAAATTGGTTAATGAATAGCCCTAGAAGAGATGACTTTTGGCAGAACTTTTACCTATCATTTTAGCAGATGTCATGGCCACCAAAAATGCAGTTTTGAGGGACAAAAGATTTAAAGAAGCTTCCTCCAAAGGTTTGAATGGCTGTGTACAAAGAGACTTAAATACCAAAAGTCAGGTCCCAAAAGGGAAACAAAAATGCTTTTCTTGGAGGCCTACTGAGCATGACCGTCTAAAAAAAAAATAAAAAAAATAAAAATCTCCTAACAAGATTCGAAGTCAAGTTCTTTATCAAAAAGTGGCTCAGGGCAGAAACTTGAACCTCAAGGGTAGACAAACTAAGACCAAAGGCAGACTTGTAGAAAATGCAAGATATCAGTAGAAGGAGAAGTTCTTAGGCAATGATGAGAGATGCACCAATAAAGGAATTTTGTCCAAGTTTTCAAGTAGATAGAGGTAGATTTTCTGGTGGAATTCAGCAGTAACTTGAATCTCTCTTTCTTAATGCCCCGGTTATGCAGGATTAGCCGTGCAGCAGCCAAGCCGTCAATTTGAACATCTGCAATTCTCCAGGAGCACTGTTGAAATCGGAAGTTTCCAGTACTCCGAAACCAACGTCATTAAAACCGAGAAACAGCTCCGATTTGGCCAGTATGGAATTATGGCCAGTAGGGATCGACCGATTATCGGATTTGCCAATACTATCGGCCGATATTCAGGGTTATCTAAATTATCGGTATCGGCATATAATCTTACTAACAATGAGTACAGCGCGCACGTGCGCCCAATCTGTCTCCAAGTCTCGCGGCTACGCGCGAATTATGGGACTTCTAGAGAGTGTCACGGCTCCCGGTGATTCTGTTGGCGTGGTTGCACAAAGTATCACGCCGACAGAAAGCAATATTACTTACCTTGTTTGCAGCAGATCACTGCCCGACCTCCCTCCGGTACCCAGCGGGTGACCTTGAGAAAGACCCGAATGGGTCGAAACGTTGGCAAACTTTGATGTTATACCTGCTGGAATAAATTATCCTTTTTTTCATTGCTTAAGCCCTAAGAGTGCATCTCTTCATTCCTTATATATATTTTCTCAACATGGGATTGCACCTAGGCAATATTGTACTATATACATGAAAGGGTGAGTGCCAAGAAAGACATTTTTTGTGTGTGTGTGTGTGTGTGTGTGTGTGTGTGTGTGTGTGTATTTATATATATATATTACACACACACACACACACACACACACACACTATATTATATGATAATAAAGCCCTTGTTAGTCAGTGGGGGAAGGTGGTGGTGGATATTGCAAGCAGCCATTGGTAGTCAGTGAGGGGGGAGGGGTGGTGGTGGATATGGCACTATATGACAATAAAGCTCTGGGTATATATTGTTGGCACTATATTTATATTATAATAATAAAGCCCTTGGTACTTGTTGGTAGTATATTGGCACTATAAAAATTCTAATAAAGCACTGGGAGTATTACATTCAGAAGGAATTCGGCAACACTTTACCATCAATATGGCATTTAAAATTTGTGCAAGTATTGAAAAGTCCAGTTCTAATTTAGATCAGTTCCAATTTAAGGTTGGATAAAATACTACTACTGCTTATTTTAAAACTTATATCATGGCACGCCTGCCTTATTCTGTGTCCAGCCACCAATGAGGCGCTAAGTTGCCCAACATAATTTCATGGTTCACCCCTCACTCCCTGCAGTAAGCTGAGGAGGAACACAACCAGAACTTAGAAGAAGCACCAAACCAGAGGCAAAAGGGGAGACTGAAGCTGTCTGAAATCAGCCAGAGCTACAACCACCACAGTGCCCTTTGTAACATACAATACTTTCACAGCACACCTTCTTCCACGTCCAGCCGCCAGCCAAAGAGGCTTTATGTCGTACAACCTCATATCATCATCATCCTCATCACCCCTCCCTGCTGTGAGCAGAGTGCCAGAAGCATGCGGAGCACAGCTCAAGTTAGATGAGAAAGTGAGTTTGGGGACAACTGACTAGAGCTAGTAAATAATATAATAAAGAATATTGAAATTATTTCAGCAACAATATTTACTCTATACACAGAGAGCATTATTAATAATAATAATAAATAATATTCTAGTCTACCCCTTATTAATACAGCATTCAATTTTCAAATCACCCCATAATATTAAATGCAATAAAATCACTCACACCACTATCACTCACTACTATTATAGCATTGGGGTCAGTGATTTTCTTCATGCAATTAGTATAAAGTAGTAATGAAGTCAACACAAGCTTTTAGTGTGTGTGTGTGTGTGTAAATAATTATTCGACTCCCTCCTCGTCCACATATTTCTTAGCTAAGAATGATTATAGGTGCTTTTAGCTTTGTGAAATGTACACACTGTATTGTTTGTAGGTGCGCTGTTCCTTAAAGGACCACTATAGTGCCAGGAAAACATACCTCGTTTTCCTGGCACTTTAGTGCCCTGAGGGTGCCCACACCCTCAGGGTTCCCCTCCCGCCGGGCTGGTTAAACTCACCTCTTCCTCCAGCGTCGGGCGGGGAGCTCTCCTCCTCCTCTTCAGCTGAATGCGCATCCACGGCAGGAGCTGCGCACGCATTCGGCCAGTCTCATAGGAAAGCATTTACAATGCTTTCCTATGGACGTTGGCGTCTTCTCACTGTGAAAAGAAGCACACAAGCGCCTCTAGCGGCTGTCAAGAGACAGCCACTAGAGGCTGTATTAATCCTGGACATAAACATAGCAGTTTCTCTGAAACTGCTATGTTTATAAAAAAAAAAAAAAAAAAGGTTAACCCTAGCTGGACCTGGCACCCAGACCACTTCATTAAGCTGAAGTGGTTTGGGTGCCTATAGTGGTCCTTTAAGCTGTACTGCTCCTATAAGTAAAAGGCTAATAGCATCTAGTAGTCATACATTCTAGGCTAGGAAGGATCATCTCAATGACCTCATCCCAGTATGTACTGGCTGGGTGAGCATGACAGGAGAGTATGACTGCTGACAGCATTTACACTGCTGTCAGCATCAGTAACAGTAACTGTACATGCTGGGATCTCATATTCATTCATAAGAATATTGACTTTTTTTGTTTTTGTTTACAACCACAACTTACTCTAAACCTCACTGTAGCCTGTAACCCTCTTCTTTCAATGCAGATGGATGCACAAACAAAAAGTAAAAGTATAGTTTGGGACTATTTTAGTCAACTCTCCCCAGGACAGGCAATGTGCAACACATGCAAAATGTGAGCATTGGATCTGCAACTGCAAAAACCAAGAATACATCAAATCTTTGGACCCATCTAAGAATTCATCATGTTGAATTATTTATTGAAGCACAGAAAACAAAAGAATGGGAATCATGAGAATCTATTCCAGCCAAAAATAAAAGACCTATTTCAGAAACACACAAAGTGGCAAGAGTCCAATGAAAGAGCCCAACTTCTGGACAGAGCAATCACAAAGATGATGGTTATGGATAACCAGCCATTTACAATGGTGTCTGACTCTGGCTTTAAGCGCTTGATGTCCATAGTTGAGCCAAGGTGCACACTGAAGAATTTAAAGTATTACAGAACCGAAATGCTGCCAAAGATTCATCAAAAGGTGGCTCAGAAAGTAAAAACAACCAGAGAACACTGGCAATTCTCATTCACTACTGACTACTGGTCCGGATCAACCGAATCACTAATGAGTCTTACATGTCACTTCATTGATAATGGATGGACAAAAAAGGCAGTTGGTATTGAATACAAAAGCTAATGCAAGGATCCCACACTGGTGAGTACATTAAATAAAATGTTTCTAGGCATGCTTGATTGCTTGATGACTGGGGGATAAGCAAAGATCGAGTGATGCTTGTGTTTCAAGACAGCGGAGCAAACATGGTGAAAGGAATAAAGGTTGCTGAAGTGTCAGATCTCAGCTGCATGGCAACTTGTGGTAAATGATGGTCTGTCAAGCCAGAGAGCTCTGATTGACAGAATTGCCATGCTAAAGAAGCGCGCAAGCCATTTCCACCATTCATTCATTGCCAAGCACCGACTGAGGTGCATTCAGTCAGAGCTCGGCCTGCCCAAAAACAGCCTGCGTCAGACTGTTCCAACACGATTGAACTCCACACTCCAAATGCTGCAAAGAATGCTGGAACAGAAGCGAGCTCTAAGCATCTATTCTGGTGAACATGGAGGTTATTCTTGCCCTAATACTGATCAGTGGGAGATTGTAGCAAATCTCATTCAGACCCTCCTCTCAATAGAGTAAGTGACCCTAGAGGTGAGTTATAATGACTCAAGTGTGTCACCCGTGATTCCATGTATGAGAGTGCTGAAGATGCTTCTTCAAGAGAATGAAGGGCCCACTACACGTGGTATTAAAACACTCAGGGAGGTCATGAAGGAAAGCCGCAAACGTATTTTGAAGTATAAACATAGTGTTGGTATGTCTTTTAGATCCTCGATTCAAACATCATGCTTTCTCTTCTGATAATGTATTGGCCAAGGAAAAAGAATGGCTGACAGAAGATTTGCAAAAGGAGGTGCAGGTTCTAGAAAGGTCACATTGGAAGAGCATGCTACTAGTAGTACTAGTCTGGAAGAGCAGGATGATGATGCTGCAGAAACATACAAATTCCCAAAAAGAAAACACATGGAAAAAAGTTGATGCCATGTTCAGCGTTTTACTGGAACCTCATGTAGAGGATTCCCTAACTTTATCAAAAGTCAGCGTTGATGATGAGCTTCATCTTTATTTGAAAGAACCAGTGATCAATAGAAAGGGCAATCCACTTGACTGGTGAAAAGAAAATGAGACACGCTTTAACCCCTTAAGGACACATGTCATGATTCCCTTTTATTCCAGAAGTTTGGTCTTTAAGGGGTTAAAACCCTTGCTTCTTATGCCAGAAGATACCTTTCATCTTCGTCCTCCTCTGTACCTAGTGAGCGTGTTTTCAGTGAAGTGTCAGCAACCTAAAAAAGAAACAAAAGCCTTTTAACAGGAGAACATGCAGAAATGTTGTGCTTTCTGCACTACAATGTACTCCTTCTCAACTGGACGTATTAAAGAAATTCTAAAGTTTTATATGTTATTTAAGGTCTGTCTCAACTCACTTTTTTCGAGACCAATACCCGTATGATATGTAATCGTATTGTCTAGGTCTACTCTCTAGTTATTTTATTCTTTTGTTTTATTATGCAACATAATTTGGTTCTGTAATTTTTTTTTTTTTATTGCTGAAGTGCAAACCCAGGACCGTTATAAGTTATGTTACCTTTACTCAGCTAGAAAGGTTAAGTTACTCAACATTTAACTTGTTTTAAATTTAATCTTCTTTATTATATGCATTGAACCATTTGTTTAAAACTTTAAATTGACACTTAGGCTAGGCAGTTAGGCAACAAAACAAATATAGCTTAATGAAGCTGTTTTTATGCCTTGCTTATATATACTGACGTGTCCCTTTGATTTCATTGCCTATGTCACTGCTGCTCATTTTACTAAGATTTAATCCAAGTATGGACTATGTGGCCATGTGCAATTTACCATCGATCCTTAATGGCCAGTACCATTGCCTGCTCTGTTTTCACCTTTTGCAAAATCCTTGGAATTGGGCTCAACGTGGGAAATATATATGCCAGGCTAAAGTCCCACTTGATGGATAGCCCGTCCAGAACAAGAGGCATGTCTGCCTTGTATAGCGAGGCAAATGCTGGCATCTTCGCATTTGACCTTCTTGCCATAAGATCTATGACAGGTAGACCGAATATTTCTACCAGATAAGAAAACATACCTGGATTTAGAGACCACTCTTTCTGGAACCATTTCCATTAAGTCGTCTTCGATAATGTTGTCTTTAATGCTTATGTGAGTAGCGGATAGCTCTTCCAGATGACTGAGCCCAGGACATAATTCGAGTGCAAAGGGACTACAATTTTTTTACCCTTGTACCCTTGTTTGTTCAGGTACACCACTGTAGTCTGGTTGTCTGCCAGACTTTTCCACAGTGAGAGCTCTGAATTGATAAAGCGCATACAAAACGGTCATCAACTCCTTGTAATATGAGGATTCCCTTTTCTCTTCTTCTGACCACAATCCTTGCCTTAAAAGACACTGCAGGTGTACTCCCCAACCTGTATTCAAAGCGTCTGTGGCGATTATGATCCATTCCTTTCGTCGAAATGATAGACCTTTTGACATGAAACTGGTCCTTATCCACCAATTTAGTTGTCTTCTTACAGGATCTAAAAT